CTTGCGAAAAATCAGATAATTAAATATAATAATATAAAATGTAACTAAATATAATAATACGAGAAACACGTCAAAAGTGTGAAACATATTTTAGATTATCTCAGGTTTATATTTCATGTAATGGTAATTCACGCACGTGATAATAAATATTCTGCCACGACTATCTAATTGTTAGAGAGACCGATATTTCAATCGATATGCCGACACGCATGTTATTTAAATAGCAATTAAATAACATTGCTCGCGGAATATAGTAGCTTTTAACCAGAATGTAGAAATATTACAAAACATACATAATAATCTCAGAAATAAGGATAGAAATAGAATAATAAATAAGAAATATAAATATCTTTTTCCGTGATATTAATAAAAACGTAATCATCAACTGCAGTTCCAGGGTCTCTCAAAATTAACTTATTTAAAAGCAAAGTTTTGTACGAAACAAAAAATTCTAAATTTTTTTCACGTAGAATTACCTTCCGATTACGCGACAAAATGTTTTATATAAAATATTTTTTAACGTAAAACTTTAATCAGCTATAAATATTTCTTATCAAAGTGTATGATTCATTCAGTTTACAGTTAGATTAATCAGTACAATTACAATGTCATTGTCAGCAAGTGTTCAGATGTTCCTACAGCTCCGCAATATTGAAACGTCCGATTTCGATTTAGATATGGAGATAGTGAGCCTGATGAAGGACGGCATGATCGACGACTGGGACATGTTTGAGCGACTGACCGAGTACACGTACAAGCAACGGCTGCACGCCTTAGCTGAGCACCATCCGATCCTGATGACCGAGTGCCCGTGGAACACCAGATTGAAGCGCGAGAAGCTGTTGGAGTTGATGTTCGAGAAATTCAACGTGCCGGCTATGTATATCTGCAAGAACGCCGTGCTGGCCGCATACGCGAACGGCAGGTCCACGGCGATGGTCGTGGACAGCGGTGCCACGCATACCAGCGCGGTGCCAGTCCACGACGGTTACGTCATCACCCAGGGGATCGTCAAGAGTCCCTTAGGCGGTGACTTTATCACCATGCAATGTAGACAGTTCTTCGAGGAGAAGGACATCGAATTGTTGCCGGCTTGTCTTGTCGCCAGCAAAGGTAAACGATAGTCCGTTGATGATGAAGGGATTCAAAGAATGTAGTTAATTCAAATTGAAGAGAAAATGCGTAAAGTTTCCCTAAATATATATAAAAGAAATTTATGTAGAATTATTATGCAGAACAAATTATTATACAGTAGTCTCTTACTTTTAATAGATTTTTTTTAAGTAAAAACTTGAAAAAATGTAAAAAATTGAAGTAAAAGAATTTAAAAGGTATAATTTAGATTCCAATGGACTGCGAGGAATTCTAACATAATTTTGAAGATTTCTGCTCACCAATTCATGTTTCTTTTAG